CCCCAACCCCAAAACCCCAAAACCCCAAAACCCCTTTGACAAATAAAATTATTGAAATTTTATATCAAAAAAATTCTACCTTACAATAGACAAATGATAGACTCAAAAATAAAGAAGTTTAGGAAAACAATAAACCACATGTTTAAAAATAAGCCAAATGCCTGTATCAACGGAGATACTTTCGACGCCACTCATTTACAAAGGATTATATGCAGACCATACACTGCTTCTACCCATCCAGGCACCCCATTTCAAAAAGTCAGAAAGAAGCTGGTAGAAATAAATTCCAAACCTTTTGTTGATCTTACCCCAAAATTAACACTAGACATTCACGATCTGCCAGACTACAAAACAGTAAAGAAAGGAGATTGTTCGAAGAAGGATGCAAATAACCCTCAGAAATAACAGAAATGCCATTGACTATGAGTTCACTAAATACAACCAGTTCCTGCAAAATTTTGACGAACACAAAAGCATTGTAAAAACTGTTAATTTGTTAGGATTCTACTAAATAGAGCACAAAATTCTCCCGATTTCTATCAAAAAAGCCAAGATATCCACCAAAGAAGCAACGCTGGCGTTGCTAATTTGGAAGATAATGAGGGTAATACTCGGAATAACCTTTAGCACGCTCGCTGAATGTTCCGAAAAGTATATCAAAATCTACCATTCATGCTCCAGTTAGATGCAAAAATAACCGAAAAGTACTTGTCACTCCCAAGAAAAGCTACAAAAGTAATTCTGTGCATTATCAGTAGCAAAAGACAAGATCAGAGAAGCCCAAGATGATAAATAAACTCAGTGCGTGCTTCAGGAGTGTCTCAAGAGACACTCCTTGCAGAATTCTTAAAGATAAAAGCAACGATTTATTGACTAAAAATGCAAGAATTACAGGGTTCCAGGATATCCAGGAGTACAAATAACTTAATAATGAGGAATAAAATGACTTCTTGTAAGAATTAACATGATCCGAAGAGGTATTGTGAAACAACTTGATCAACTTCAAGAGAGTAATAAGGCTATAAAAGAGATCAGGAAGATTTCTCTCCAGGGTAAAACTTCAAGTGCAACCTTGCAAAAGAAAATTTCAATCAAAAATACTAAGAAAGCTAATAACTAGAAAAGGAATTGGAAATCATGATAGAAGAAACAGTTCTCAGAAGAAATTGATCCCAAAAATCCGCCATAAAGCATCATCGAGCTCTTTAAAAACTCTCCAAAGAGATACAAAGGATAGCTTAAAGACCTCGCAGCAACGTAGGAAAGATATGATAACTGAAAAGCAAAGAAGAGCTAGTCTGACAGTCCAGAAAAAAGTGTTATCAGAGAACAACAAAATCCTACGTAACCTAATACACCATTCAGGCCATTATAACAGACTCATGGAGAGTTGAAATCAATAAGGTAGCTTATTCAACCACACAAAATAAAAAGGGGTTTTGGGGTTTTGGGGTTTTGGGG